CGTTATCCTAGGAGACCACAAATACCCTCAAGAGTTAACACCCCAAATTTTTAGTGACGTGGCAAGCCACATGGGACTAATCCCTCCACCTAAGCATTGCCAACTAAGGTTTACTACAAAAAAACTTGACCTTTAGTGGCGACAAAGTCGCCACAAATTCCCAAAATATTTCCACTAAAGGTTATGAGTGATTTTTAGTGGCGACTAAGGCTCCAACAACCATTCGCTAGTAAAACCTATTTTTTCAACAAAAAAATATGATAATTAATTTTTGATTGCAACCTAATTTTCTAAAGTAAATAACTTGCAATATCAATATTAAAAACATACAATATTATTACGAAAAATCATCAAAATTACTTCTCGATTCAAATTTTCTACTATATAATATATCATTGTACATTTTATATATTTACATATGACATAAAAATAAAACATACAGTATCTTCAAACTCCTACTTAATCGATATCATTTTTTATTTTTTAAAAACAATGAAGAAAAAACACAAAAATAGAATTTAATGTTAAAAACTTTTAGTGACAGTTTTCTGGTCTTTTGTGGCGACTGTTGTTGCCGTTAAAAGTCTGGTTCTTTTGTAGTGAATCCTAGTTGGCAACACTAGGTGGAAGGATTAGTCCCACGTGGCTTGCCACGTCATTAAAAAATTGGGGTGTTAACTCTTGAGGGTATTTGTGATCTCTTAGGATAACAGCAGGGGCATTTTTTATCCCAAAATGTAACGAAGAGTATAAGTGGTCTATTTCACATAGTTCAAGGGCAATTTTGACCCTTTTCCGTAAAATATATTAGGGCCAGGCTAATTGGGCCGTTTCTTTGAGGTACATAGATATGGGCTTTTAGTGACTCAAGCTTACTGAAAAAATTGAATAAGGGTCAATTTGGTTATGATTTGAAATTGAAATTTGAATATTTTTGACATGAAATTTCGATAACGAAAATAGTACTTTTTCTAGTAAACATGAAAAATCTTACGATTTATGAATTTTTTTTTCTTTTATAATTCTACTAAATGAGTAAATTATAGTTCAGAAATAAGGTATTAGAATATCATAAGACATAATATTAACAAGTTGCATATCTTGATTATCTTTTATAAATAAATAATTATGATTACGTATTATTACAAACTTTGAAATACACATTATTTAGTGTAATTCCACCTACTGAGGTTGAGAAAAATGGAGTGTATTTGAAATACACATAATAACAATTAGGGGTGTTCACGCCCCGGTTTG